ATCAAAAACACCAACGAACTCAAATTTTCACATTTTTTTTTCAAAATTACTTTCAATTACGCTCCTAACTTATTTTTCTCAAATAATTTAATAAAATTAATTTAAAAATAATAATAATAATAAATGCCAAAATTGATTCCGAGCTAAATTTCGGACACGAATATTATAAATAATTTATATAATACAAATATACAAAAGATAATAAGAATAATATGAATACACAAAAATAATAGAAATAATATGAAAACATAAAAATAATAAGAATAATAAAAATATACACAAATAATATGAATAATAGGAATATACAAAAATAATCTTCTTTTTTTTCTTTCATTTTTTTATTTAATTATATGTATATCTATGCAATATTATCACTTGATCTTCTTATTTTATTTATATATATATATATATATATATATTTTGCTGCCTCTGGATATCTTTCTGTGCACCTGGAGTCCTTTTTTTTTTTTTGTCTTTTCTCCTCTTTTTTATTTATTTATTATTACATAAAATAAAATATAAACAAAATAAATAATTTAATTAAATATATAATCATATTATTATATTAATTCAGACAAAAATAATTATTATTACCATATATTAATATACAATTTTTTTAAATATAGTATAATTTTATCATGTCATTACCATATAACACTACATTAATAACCACTTGAAAGTCATACAAACAAGCCATAAAGGAATTGATTCAGAAGAAGCAAGGTGTTTATAATCTAGTGGGACGAATTTTGGATCGTTGAATTTAGAGATTTATTTTTGGCCGTTCAATTTAGGTTTAATTAAGGGTATTTTGGGCATTTTACCCTCTTTTTTCAAAATCACATGATTTTTTGACTGAAAAAATTAACATTAAATAATTTAAATAAAAATAAATATTACATGAATTAAAAAACATTATTTAACCTCTAACTGGGATGCATTTCTACATTACTCCTTTTGCATTTTAATTTAGATTATCCACCGTGGACAAAACAAAACGATGTCGTACAGTAATACATATAATCGATCCCCTCCATAATCTTCATGGCGTTGTCATTTGCGTTTCCACCACACCCGAATTAATCTCCATTTCAGGCAGAGTATAAACAACAATAGGACTCCTCACAGAGTGGTTGGGGCTTATCCAGACAAGCTCACCGGATAACACCTCTCCGCTCACCGCCTTCGTTACTGTAACCTTTAGCGTGAATATCCTTTCTTGCTTCACAAGAGTGAAGGACAGACTCGGCGGCTCAATCGCGACCTCAACCCCGGGCGGCGCCAGGATGGTGGCGTTGTAGACAGAGATAGCAGGGCCTACGTTGGTGACCGCCCGCTGAAAAATGGCGACCTGTTGGGCTTGGCTAGCGTTGGCAATGAGTTGAAATGTAGGGTAGTTGAGAGCATCGTTGTTATTGTCATAGATGAGGTTCGAGCAGTTTACTGTCTGTACAGCGGTAATTTTGTGAATGGTGGAATCTTCGTAGCCTTCACGACATAAGAACTCGATGTAGGTAATATAATTCATGTCGTAGATTAAACCGGGGTCGACAGCTCTTCTTGGGTTGACTTGGCCAGCGCCGTAAGCTAGTTCGCCGTCTTCGTGTGCTGTCCGGTTTAGGGGTTTTGCTGATTCAACAGAAAAACTCGTCGTTTAACGTTTAAATCGTGAAATGGTGTGTTTCGGAAGGTGGGTGTATATATATGTGTGTGTGTGTGTGTGTGGATATATATACCTGTGGTCATGATAGCAGATTTGATAGCAGCAGGACTCCAATCTGGGTGGAAAGACTTTATGTAGGCGGCGATACCGGCAACGTGGGGTGTAGCCATTGAAGTGCCGGACATGATGGTGTATTTTGCGTACTGGGTGTCACCTTCTAAGCCAGTTAGTGTCGCGAGGGGGGTGTAAGCCGCCAAGATGTCAGCACCAGGTGCAGTAATGTCGGGCTGTTAAGTTTTGTTGGTAAAATTTTAATTTAATGGGTTAATGTAAATGGTGAAAAAGATAAAATATATTTATTTATATATAACCTTAAGAAGGCGGCGTGATATTTGATTTGGTCCTCTGGATGAGAATGAAGCAACATGTGGAGCTTGGATTTTTACTTCCTCTGTTCTGTGGATGACCGCTGTGGCAGATCTACATATATATATATATATATATTGTATGATTAATTATAAATTAAACGGTGAGTCATGAAAATGAAAAAGATTAAGGAAAAAATGAATTACTTTTTGGACTTCATGTAATTTTGGATAAGTTGAAAAGTGGAATTCTCTACGGTGGTTGCAGGGACCATATAAATTTTGGCTGAATCAAGATAGTCTTTTTCGTTTTTCTCCAGAATAGTACCAACTCCTCCCTTTAATTTAATACCAGCTTGAACACTCCACCTACCTGCGCACATAACTAATTTTCCCTTCACTTTCTTCTTGTCCACCGCACTAAAGTCACAAGCCCTGCATTGATCAATCACCTCATTAATTAATATCCTAATTCATATATATGTATATTATGTCTCTGTCAGCTCATACTCTGCCGCTTTCCTAAATTTTGGGCGGAGAGCAGTATCGGCTCCGGTAACAAGGGGGTATGATTTCTTATCCGGCTGAAATGCGCTTATTCCAACTCCCTGAAATATTTATTACTTATGAGTTGAAATGTAAGATAGTAAGTGCGATGTAATAAATTAGAAAGAAGAAGATAAAAAATAAAAAAAGTTACAGTATAAAGTTTTCCATTTCCCAGTTGAATTTTGTTTATGAATCCTCTATCAATGGTGCTAGCAGCAACGGTCAAAATCCAAGGAGCATGGTTCTCAACAGTAAAACGCTCAGGTCCACCGTTTCCGGCGGATGCAATCGTAATAATACCCTTCTTCAGGGCATAAAATGCACCAATTGCTATGCCATCATTTGTATAACCAGCACCAGGAGATCCCCCAATAGAAATCGATATGATATCAACCCCATCTTTAATGGCCTGATCGAATCCTGCTAATATGTCCATGTCCCCGCACCCTGTGCTCTGCCAACAAACCTTGTACGCTGCAATCCTTGCCGATGGCACAGCCCCACGAGCTATTCCTTTCCCCAGGCCGTATAGGCTCGCAGCCTCCACCAAGTTACCTGCTGCTGTTGATGCCGTGTGAGTCCCGTGACCGTTCATGTCCACCGGTGAAAGTATATCGTTTGGGTCAGGATTCCCATCCGTCATGATGTACGTTGCTCCTATCAGTTTCCTGTCTATTAAAATATCTGTGAATTTCTACTTATAATTTCAAACATAATCGTCCATTTTCTCTTAATTAAAAACAGAGACGGAATGGTTGAACTCCACCGTTACATCCAGTGAAATTAGCATATTGTTTGCAACTTCCCTTCCATTTTGCGGGTATAGGGCCAAAATTAGTATCCTTAAAACTGTCTGAATCTGGGTTGATTCCTGGAAAATGAATTTGTTTATATATATATATATATGTTGTAAATTAGTATCTTAATTATATTAAAGAAATATAAGTAATGCATTCAAAATTTAGATTTTAAACCTGAATCAAGAACACCAATGATAATGTCACTCTCAACTTGGAGATTTCTTTGAGTATTTATAGGAAAGTCGATGAAGTCCCATGATCTTGTTGTCTGAAGCTTGTGATAACGATTTGGGAAAACCGACACCACCTGATCATTTTCTGTTTCAACCAGCACACACACACAGATATTATCCATTTGTGTATAATGAATTTAGAATACAAAAATTTTAACAAACAATGCTCTCTGCTTCCTTTACTATAAACTTGAACATCAACTAACCGGTGGCATTAAACATATCAGATCCTAGAGGAACTAGCTCTCGTGCTTTGCACAATCCACCTAATAGATTCTAAGAATTTCCAGGCCGTGAACTGAGGAAAAGCCATGCACTTTCTTGGGAAGACACATTGTTGTATGGCTCTAAATGGAGGACAAGATTATGGAAACAAAGGACCCCTGTAATGGAGAAGATCTCTCTTCTCAAAGCCAATTAATTCCCAACCTCTAAAGACGATGAGGATGAGCTCCAGTCTGCTATCTACCAAGTCTTACCTAACACATCAAGTTGGTTGAAAGGCTTGATCAAATCCACTACAATGATTAATTTACAGATTAAAGATATCTTTCATGGCGATTGGCAGATCTACATCTTCAACATTCTTAGAAAAGCTAACACGTGAGTAGACCGCCTTACTCAACGAGTGGATCGTATCTATGAATGCTACATGAAATTAGATTAATCTCTTGATGCCCTCAATAAGTACCTTTATTGGACAATTGTGATGTTGTTTGGCAAAGGTAATAGCTCATAATATGTAATTCTCTTTTCTTTGTTTTATTATCCGGAAAAAAGAAATATTTAATGAAAATTTCAGGCGTACCCATCAATGCCTGGGCTTCTTTTTTAGTAAGCCTTGCTGCAAAACCATTGAAGCTGTTTGAATAGCTGTAGAGCATTGACTCCCTAGCTTTAAGACTATCACTGCAATTATAAATGCAAAATAAACATAGTTAATTAGTTAAAAAAAAGAAAAGGAAAAACACCCACACAAACATCACATATATATATATAGACACACATAATTTATAACATACACATATATATACATATAAGTATGTACGTAGATACCCACCCGGCTCCCTTGACTGATGACAGGAGACGGAGTTGCGATCGAAGTGCCGGGTTTTGTGTTGGCAGTCCATTATATTTGAACTTTGGAATATCTCCCATGTAAACAATATAAGATTGCTGCATATAGACATGCATGATTAATTAATCAAATTAATCCTCATACCACATAAATACATATACATGTATATATACATGTATATTGCATATATGTATTATACCTCTTCATCATCAGGAGTGACTGGAGCAGCAATACAAGTGGTAAAGATGATAAGAAGAATCGTAAGTTTATAGACAAGGAAAGGTGAAGATGGTAAGAGGATGGCCATGTTTGATCTCTTACGCTTCTTGTTACCTGTCCCTCTCCCTCTAGGTTGATAGGACAAGAACTATACACACATACCTATACCTATACATATACATAGGGTTCTCAAACAAATGACAGCCAAGTTATTAACAAAAGGAAACGTATGGATGAGGACAGATGGTATATGCAGTAGGTTAAACTCCATTTATAGGGTTTGGAAGCTTTATGGTTTATAATATTAAGCCTTAAAAGGAAGATGACGAACAAAATTCTGGTTGATATTATATATAAATAGGCAAATATCATTTTCGTTAGCAACCGTTATAATAGCTTGCGATGATCTACAAACTTTAGACATCTTTTTAGACGGTTTCAAAAAAAGTTTAATCTAGTTTTGCCAAAAAAAATGAACTAAAAAAAATCTTGCCCCAATTAAAACAAAATATTGTGTAAAAATTTGGTAACATCATATAAAAATTATCAATTACATATTTATATACATAATATATTACATTTAACGATTTGAAGGATGTCCAGAACATCAGAAACAGCTAATGAAACTTAGAGTGGTCGAGAGACCTCTCCCACTGCCAAGCTTGAAGGGCGATGCGACAAACAGCCAATGAAACACCATCAGCACAAATCCTGCACCTGCACCTGCACCTGCAACCTGCACAGCACAAAATTCTACACCTGCATCTGCAATCTGCAATCTGCACAATACATAATCCTGCACCCGCAACATACACAGACTAGAAACAAATGAAATTTGTTATAGCAAATTTTATCCTTTATTGACATTTGTAACTCTTTCATTGAAACACTTGTAAACCTTTGATTCATTATAAAACTTAATAATTTATTAAAGATTTTTCATCTCAACAAACTAAGATCTTTATTATATTTTTCTTATTCAAACTTTGTGGTTTTGTGGGTTGGCCAATGTGCTTGCTCCTCGTTATTCAAGTCATTACTTAAACACACTGCTAGAGATTACTAACTATCATTTGCTTCAATTTATAAAAAATGATTTAATTAATTATTTAAATGTTAATACATTTATTCAAAATCTACTGAACTAAAGTATGAATCACACGTATAGCGGTCAAATTTTGTGAAAATATTTTTTTGTAAAAATAAAATAATTAAAATCGAACACTAAAATACTAATTCTTGAACTCTGTAAATAATAAAAGAAACAAATTACCTTTAAAAAGTTAAGTTGATATGAAATTTTCAAATCAATTATTTAGATTATAATGAAGTAAGCATTTTTTATTTATTTGGTTTCCTCTATACTGATGAGTAAATATTTTTATGTTATAATTACTTGCCTGATATTGTTTAGAAAAAATGAATCCAAAATGTATATGTTACTCAAACAATTACCTTATACTAATATTTTAATTTATTTTTATATTTATGCTAACATTATGTATATAAATATATTTATATTGATGGTGCTTGAATGTAATGAAATTTCAGGATAAACATTACCTTTATATTTATACGGTTTTTATGTGAAATTTATTTCATAAAATTTTAAGTTAAATTATAATTTACATATATATCTCAATTGTAATGAAAAGATATTCCATGCGATTCTCACTAGTATATTATTAATTAAGAGGCTAAAAAAATAATTTTCTCTATATATTATTTATTTTTATTCAAATTAATAATTATTTTAATTTGTTATTAAATAAATTCTCGTACTTTAAAAAAAAATTCAAGTTATTCTCTCTTAAATTGAATGTCATATACCACGAGATATCTTATGTTACATTAAAAGAAATTGAGTGTAAATCAGTTATGATTAATCCACAAATAAAATTCTACATTGAATGAATTAGTCTAAGGTTGAGAAGAAAAAAAAAAGAATCTCCTATTCCCTAAGTCCTCAAATCCAAAACCTTATTTTCATTATAGCTCAGTCATTGGGTATTAACTAATCGTGTTAAGCATGTTCAAAATTGTGGCTGGTGGCATAACATCAATAATAACTTAAGGAAGTTGTGAGGATGCTTAACCAAATCCATCAAAGAACATGTATTGATTAGTCATGGTAGCGCTCAACAATATTTATAACTTACGGTAGTTTTTAGCAACATTTTTTTACTGGAGAGATCGGAAATAGTGGGCTTGAACTTGCCTATAATATATTCGAAGAGCTTGAGATAATCCTACAAGGCCCGTTACTGGTGCGAGTTAAGCTTTGAGATGGATCTCAAAGCCTATGTAGTTATGGAAAGAGACTTTCATATTGATCATGGTGATGTTGACTGTAGTAGAGATGAATTACAAGAGCAACTTAGTATGAAAACATAGGAGGGACGAAAGGGTGGAGTCACAGAGGTTTAGATAGAGAGCATTGTGGCACGTGAAATGGGTTATTTGGTGTCATAAATGAAGGAGCTAGCAAAGAGAAATAAAAGGAGATCGTGAGCCACCGAAAAGCCAGATCGAGAGAACAACAAGTGATGAGCATATGAATAACTGATGCAAGATGTGGAATAGGAATGTAGTTATGATGATCAAAAGTGGAAGGTTCATCTTTATCTTAATCTTGATAGTTGAAGGACGAAGATCACAACCGAGCCATAGTGAAAAGAAAGGTTTGTATTCAGAATTAAGAGAAATTTCGAGTCTTTCTTTTTTTAATTTTAGATCAGTTTATATTTATTCAAGTTTTTTTTATAAACTAGTTTAAGTAGGTACAAATCCATATTCTTTTAATAAGTTATTTATTGATACATGGTAATTAAGTTAACAATGTTAACTTTTATTAACAAGAAGAAAAAATATTAAATCAAATTTTTTAAAAAAATTACAGGTAATAATTTGACTAAAAAATTAACATTAAATAATTTAAATAAAAATAAATACTACATGAATTAAATCGTTATTTAACCTTTAATTGGAATGCACTTTTACAGTTCTCCTTTTGCATTTTAATTTAGATTATCCACCATGGACAAAACAAAACGATGTCGTACTGTAATACATATAAATGATCCCCTATAAAATCTTCATAGCGTTTGCATTTCCACCACCCCCGAATTAATCTCCTCCCTTTCAGGGAGAGGTGAGAACAACAATTGGACTCCTCACAGAATGATCGGGGCTTACCCAAACAAGCTCACCGGATAACACCTCTCCCCTCACCGCCTTCGTTACTGTAACCTTAAGCGTGTATATCATCTGTTGTTTCACCCAAGTGAAGGACAAACTAGGCGGCTCAACCACGATCTCAACCCCGGGCGGCGCCAGGATGGTGGCGTTGTAGACAGATGTAGCAGGGCCGACGTTGATGACCGCCCGCTGAAAAATGGCGAACTGGGGGGCTTGGCTGGGGTTGACAACGAGTTGAAATGTAGGGTAGTTGAGAGCATCGTGGTTGTTGTCATAGATGAGGTTCGAGCAATTTACTGTCTCTACATTGGTAATTCTGTGAATGATGGATTCTTCATAGCCTTCACGGCATAAGAACTCGATGTAGATAATATAATCCATGTCGTAGATTAAACCGGGGTTGATAGCTCTTGTTGGGTTGACTTGGCCAGCGCCATAAGCTAGTTCGCCCTCTTTGTGTGCTGTCCTGTTTAGTGGTGTTGCTGATTCAACAGAAAAAAAATCCGTGGTTTAATGTTTAAATCGTGAAAATGGTGAATTTTAAAAGGTGGGTGTATAAGTATATATGTATGCATATATATATATATATATATACCTGTGGTCATGATAGCAGATTTGATAGCAGCAGGACTCCAATCTGGGTGGAAAGACTTGATGTAGGCGGCGATACCGGCAACGTGGGGTGTAGCCATTGAAGTGCCGGACATGATGGTGTATTTTGCGTACTGGGTGTCACCTTCTAAGCCAGTTAGTGTCGCGAGGGGGGTGTAAGCCGCCAAGATGTCAGCACCAGGTGCAGTAATGTCGGGCTGTGAATTTTAATTTTATGGGTTAATATAAATGGTGAGAAAAATAAAATATATTTATTTATATGTACCTTAAGAAGGCGGCGTGATATTGGATTTGGCCCTCTGGATGAGAATGAAGCAACATGTGGAGCTTGGATTTTTACTTCCTCTGTTCTGTGGATAACCGCTGTGGCAGATCTACATGTACATATATATATATATATATAAATTAAATGGTGAGTAATGAAAATGAGAAAGATAAACGAAAAAAAAATGAATTACTTGTTGGAATTGATGTAATTTTGGATAAGTTGAAAAGTGGAATTCTCGACGGCGGTTGCGGGGATCATGTAAGTTTTGGCTCTATCAATATGGTCGGTCTCCAGAATAGTACCAGCTCCTCCCAAGTAGTTAATATCATAATCAACAGCATAATGATCTTTGCACATAACAATTTTTCCCTTCACCTTCTCCTTGTCCAGCCCAAAATAGTCACAATTCCTGCATTGATTCATCACTTCATCAATTAATATCCTAATCACTACAATGATAGATATTATGTATATGTCACTTCATACATTGCAATTTCCCTATATTCTGGAACGCGAACAGTATCGATTGCGTTAACAAGGGGGTATGAGTTCTGATCCGGCTGAAATGCATTTATTCCAACTCCCTGAAATATTTATTACTTATGAGTTAGAAATGTAAGATGGTAAGTGGGATGTAATAAATTAGAAAGAAGAAGATAAAAAAGAATAAGTCACAGTATAAAGTTGTCCATTTCCCAGTTGAATTTTGCTTATAAATCCTCTATCAATGGTGCTAGCAGCAACGGTCAAAATCCAAGGAGCAGGGTTCGAAACAGTAGAAAGCTTAGGTCCACCGTTTCCGCCGGCTGCAACCGTAATAATACCCTTCTTCATGGCATGAAATGCACCGATTGCTAGTCCATCTTGTATATAATCTCCACCTGGACCTCCCCCAATAGAAATCGATATAATATCAACCCCGTCTGCAATGGCCTGATCGAATCCCGCTAATACGTCCGAGTCCGAGCATCCTCTGCTCGCCCAACAAACCTTGTACGCTGCAATCCTTGCTGATGGCACCGCCCCACGAGCTGTTCCTTTCCCCAGGCCGTATAGGTTCGCACCCTCCACCAAGTTACCTGCCACCGTTGATGCCGTGTGAGTCCCGTGACCGTTCACGTCCACCGGTGAAAGTATATCTTCTCGATCAACCCACCAATCCGTCTTGATGTACGTTGCTCCTACAAGTTTCCTGTATATTGAAAAATCTATGAATTTCTGCTAATAATTTCAAACATAATCGTCCATTTTCTCTTAATTAAGAACAGAGAAGGAATGGTTGAACTCGACCTGTTACATCCAGTGAAATTAGCATATTGTTTGCAACTTCCCTTCCATTTTGCGGGTATAGGGCCAAAATTAGTATCCTTAAAACTGTCTGCATCTGGGTTGATTCCTGGAAAATGAATTTGTTTATATATATATATATGTGTGTGTGTGTGTGTCGTAAATTAGTATCTTAATTATATTAAAAAAAATTGCTAAATGAAAGTAATGTATTCAAAATTTAGATTTTAAACCTGAATCAAGAACACCAACGATAACGTCACTCTCGACTTGGAGATTTCTTTGAGTATTTATAGGAAAGTCGATGAAGTCCCATGATCTTGTTGTTTGAAGCTTACGATACCGATTTGGGAAAACCGACACCACATGCTTATTTTCTGGTTCAACCAAAATTTTCATGTATTTATTATACATTTGTGTATAATGAATTTAGAAAATAAAAATCTTAAATGCTCTAAAGGGGTTAAGACTTTTTTCTTTGTTTTTTATCCAGAAAATATATATATATATATATTTAATGAAAATTTCAGGCGTACCCATCAGTGCCTGGGCTTCATTTTTAGTAAGCCTCGCTGCAAAACCATTGAAGCTGTTTGAATAGCTGTAGAGCATTGACTCCCTAGCTTTAAGACTATCACTGCAATTATAAATGCAAAATAAACATAGTTAATTAGTTTTTTAAAAAAAATGGAGGGAAAAACACCCACACAAACATCACATATATTTATAGACACATAATTTATAACATACACATATATATACACATAAGTATGTACGTAGATACCCACCCAGCTCCCTTGACTGATGAGAGGAGACGGAGTTGCGATTGAAGTACAGGGTTTTGTGTTGGCGATCCATTATATTTGAACTTTGGAAGATCTCCCATGTAAACAATATAAGATTGCTGCATATACACATGCATGATTAATTAATCAAATTAATCCTTATGCCACATATAAATACACATACACATACATATTTATATATGCATATTGCATATATGTGTATACCTCTTCGTCATCAGGAGTAACTGGAGCAGCAATACAAGTGGTAAAAATGAAAAGAAGAACCAGAAGTTGATAGACAGGGAACGGTGAAGATGGTAAGAGGATGGCCATGTTTGATCTCTTCTTAGGCTTCTTGTTCCCTGTCCCCCTCCCTCTAGGTTGATTAGACAAGAACTATACACACATATTTATATAGAGTTTTGAAACAAATGACAACTATGTTATTAACAAAAGGAAACGACTGAATGAGGACAGATGGTATCTGCAGAGAAGTAGGTTAAAACTCCATTTATAGGGTTTGGAAGCTTTATGGTTTAGAATATTAAGCCTTTCAAGTGTGAAAATGATGAACAAAATTCTTTTTCATATTATTTATAAATAGTCAATATCATTTTCGTTAGTCGCCGTTGTAATAACTTGTGATCATCTACCAACTTTAGACAACTTTTTGAACTGTTTGCAAAAAAAGGTCAATTTAGTTTCGCCAAAAAGAATGAACTGAAAAATCTTGTCCCAATTAAAACCAAAGATTATGTAAAATTTTGATAACATTATATGATATATAACTATAAAATATCAATATATATTTAGGTACGTAGTATATTGAATCTAAAGGTATAAAGGAAGTCCAAAACATTCAAGAAACTCGACATTTCGAGTTTTTATTATCTATATCAAACAAAAATGATAAAATTAATTAGAAATTAGATAAAATTTGCAATAAATATTTAGTAAATATCATATATATATTTTTTATATATATTGAAGAGCCGAAGGTTTTATTTGACTTGGAAAAAACGGAACGACCTCCTCCGGTCTTAATCCTCTACTTCTCGTCGCGTAAGATCGAACCAATCTCAAACCCTAAATTCTACAAAACACCGGAAATGCTCTTCGCTCGCATCTCCCGCCAAAAGCAACTCCTATTCTCATTCTACCTGAGAATCCTCGAGCGCCATTTCTCCACCTCTACCACCTCCAAACTTCACGATTATTACTGCTTCAAACCCCCACCAACGCTCTCCCCAAATCACCAAAACCCTTTTACTAACCCTACAACGAATAACAAGAAGAAGCAAAAACCCCGGTACCGCCCACCCTCGTCTCTGGAAGGTGTAAAGAAGGTTCACTGCGACCTGCCGTTCGATTTCCGGTATAGTTACACGGAAAGCAGTCCGAACGTGAGGCCTATTGGACTAAGGGAGCCTAAGTACTCACCGTTTGGACCGGGTCGTCTGAACCGAGAATGGACCGGGGTATGTGCTCCGGCTGTGGACCCGAAGGTGAGGTCCGTAGATGGAGCCGATGATCCGAAATTGGAGGAAAAGAGGAGGAAGATGAGACAGAGAATCCAGGGGACGCCACTCACTGCAGCGGAGAGGAAGATTTTAGTGGACAAGTTTCAGAGAAATCGAACAAATAGGCAAATTAATTTAGGTGCGGTTTCCCTTTCCTCTCTTTCTAGATTTCAATATTGTGTCATGCGGTTGGCAAATTGAGCATTTGAACTTCGATTTGATAAGTATAGAAATGTGTTTATCATCTGGCTATTTGACAATTTTGGTGGGTTTGGTGTGTGGAGTGATATTGGTTTGCTGGTTACTTCCATTGAGCTGGCTAAACTGTTGATTTGATTGACTGAAGATTCTCTGGATTGCTGAACTTGATTGATAGAGTTTTGTTGATGTCATTGTGGTCATTTTGCCGATGTTGTTTCTCCCATAAATTTATTTTTTAATTGATTTTTCAGAAGAGTTTTTGAGTTGTGTAAATGATGAAAATGGTACAGAGGGACTGCTCTTCTATAGCATTTAACTGAAATTGAACTGGATTGATGAAGAGTTCTAGTTGTTGTCACTCTGGTCATTGTTGCTGGTGTTGCTTCTCCCGTCAACTTGGTGTTAATGGATATTTTTAATTAACTGTTCAGAAAAAAATTTGAGTTGTGTGAATGGTGAAAGAGGATGCCAAAAAAGGGACTGCTTTGTTGTAGCATTTAACTGAAATTTAATTGAGTGGCATCTGCTCTTCACGGCTTACTTATAGTGCAGTGCTTCAGAAATCACTTTCAAATTGTTAAACACAATTTAATGTATCAGTGTTGATTGATGTTGTATCTTCTGTGAGGAGTTGGATATTTACAAATTAGCTTCTAGTATTTCCTTGACAACTTATCGTTTCTCTTGCTTGCAACATATAAAAAAATCAGTATGGATGTCAATTTTTTTGCCCCTCATCTGCTACAGTTGCTTGATGGTTCCTGTCTCCAAGCGGCTTAGGATTTTGACACACTTCACCTTCTATATGGATCGAGTTTTGGTTGTTTATCTGATCTGCCTCGTACCTTTGTTATTTTTGATAGTAGTGAGGAGAACTAGTGGTATTGGGACTTAACATGGTCTTTTTGATGGATTACTTTCATTAGCTGGCTATTTCAATAACTTGATTGATTGAATTTTTTTTTCATTACTAAACTGTGGTAATGAAGAATGTTAGTCTTTTGAACCTGTTGCGGTCCTGATGTTGCTTCTGTGTTAACTTATTTAAGATGGGTTGGGGGATTGTTTCATTGGAGCTGAGAGCAATTATTGATTTGTGTAAATGGTGAAAGAAGATGCTGTGTCAACGCCTAAAAGGGACTGCTGAAATTTTTCAGTGATAGTGATTTGGGTCTCAAGATTTATTGTTTAAAGCTTATTCCTCAAATCAAACAACAGAATGCTCTTTCAGATTGTTTAAACAGATTCATTATGTCATAATTGTTGATATAATAGCTTCTGAGAGGATTTTGGTGCTATGCAGAATACTTTTTGAGCATTTCCATTACACTTTATTTCTCATGCTTGTAAAAGATAAAGAAAATCAATATGAATATTGAATTTTTTATCTTTTAGGCAAATTATAGTTTCAAACCTGAATTGAAGTTTAATCTCCATTGTATGTTTTGTGACGCTTCACTATCCTTTGGTCTTGATTTTTGGCATTACACAAAAAATCATTAGTTTTTTTTACTATTATCTTCTAATTTTTGGGTTATCATCTTAATTTTTTTTTGTTTAGTTTTGAACTTTTAATATTCTCATAAAACTAACAGATTTGCATAAAATAATAAAAAATCAAGCTACAATTACTGAACTGTTGCAAAAAGAAAACAAGGATTGAACTACAATCAGGCTAAATCACAAGGGGGGAAATTGTACTTTTAACTTTTTTTTTTCATTTGCTGCACTTCTCCAATGGTTTGTCTGTTGGTGGCATTCGAGCATGAGATGCTTTTGACTTCCTCCATGAGTTGAGTTTATTTAGTTGATCTGGTAGTGTATTTTCTTATTTTTCCTGCTAGTTAAGAACATCAGGGTCCATTTAGTATATAAAAATGTCTAGTTCCTTATTTCTAAAGTTATATGTATTTTATTCACGAAAAGCATATGAATTAATTAACAATGATGAAAATGTATAGTCTATTGGTATCAATTGGGTGATTGCAGGTACTGTTAGGGATGAACTTTGGATATGGGGAGGGATTTGTAAAAAGTCAAAAACTGTAAAGCTTATTTCTCTAACTATTTTTTGATGGTGTAGAAAGAGAGAAACAATAGATTGTTTAATGGGTGTGTGGGGCACATAACCAGAATTAGAGATACGTGGTTTAATATTTTTGGGTCTCCTATTTTGGGCCATGACCCTAACAGGTGGGATGATTTTGGGAATTTCATTGATGTTCTAACCAACATGTAAATATAATGTACATAGGCAGCACCATGTTGATGCCATATACATTACTCATTCTTTTTTATTTTTAAAAAAATTAACAATGAAGAGAATGATTGTCAAAATGATGCTAGAACATGAAAATTTTAAAATATTATTTTTGTTGTTTTATATAAAACTCTTTCTAATTCTACTTGATATTCCACAAAGGGTGCGTTTGGTTGGGTTTTGGCTTTGATTTTTGTGTTTCAAAAGCTTTTTGCAACCAAACTGGTAAATTTTAAGTGCTTTTAACCAAAGGTAAAGTTAAAATCTACTGTTAATAGTTTTAAATGCAGAAATGACAATATGTATCTTTTAGAAAATAACTTTTGATTTTACTAAAAATTTATTGTGAAATTTTAAAGTCATTTTTACTAAACAGATAGTTTTTTCTTCTTTAAAGTGATAACACTTATAAGTATTTTTACCAAATACCAAATAACTTGAGTAAAAGTGTTTTTAATGGATATTTATTTTAACATTATTTTTAAAACTCACAATACAAACTACAACTGAACCAAACACTAGCGCACCTCTTATATATTTTCATGACTTATACATGCATGAACACATAAATTTGGGAAATGAAAAGTATAATATCAAATGGAATCTTAGTGTTCTCAAAAAAGGAAAACTCGAAGAAGCTAATAGGTAAGCGACACCAAAATTACTAAGGGCATAATGGATCAACAATTTGGTGAATTGTTTCCTCCTAATTTCCCTGTCTTTGTCTTATAGTAGTATGCCATGTGTCCATTTGTAGGGAGAGATGGTTTAACTCACAATATGCTGGATGAGATTCATAATCATTGGAAGCATGCTGAAGCTGTCAGAATTAAATGTCTTGGTGTCCCTACTGTTGACATGAAAAATGTCCGCACCCAGCTTGAGGTATCCTGTTCTCCTGTAGCAACATCGGCCCTTCATCTGCTCCAAACATTTTGCTAAAACTACTATTCATAATGTACCTTTTCATTTTTTTCATTGACTTCTCAAAAATATTATATCTCATTGATTTTGTAATCTATGTCAAGTGTTTCTTTGGCAACAGGATGTAACATATTTTCATGTGTCAATTCTTTTCTATGCATTAGGGAGCATAAATAAGTAAATGGCTATGAGATGCTACCTTTTCTGGAGAAGGATTTAATCCAATGTTTACATTCCTTTGACAGGATAAAACCTTCGGAAAGGTCATCCATAGGCATTGTGGTACACTTATATTGTACAGAGGCAGGAACTATATCCCAAAGAAAAGGCCTAAGATTCCACTGATGTTGTGGAGACCCCACGAGCCAATATATCCTAGACTAATCAAAACGACAGTTGATGGGCTGAGCATTGCGGAAACAAAAGAAATGCGAAAGAAAGGACTGGCAGTTCCTGCTTTGACAAAACTTGGTATACCTCTTTGCTTTTTTTCTCTTAGCAGGTGCTTTTTACTTATTATTCCATGACCATTTACTTGCAAGTTGTGACTGCAGCAAAAAATGGTTATTATGGTAGCCTAGTACCTATGGTCAGGGACGCCTTCCTCGTGAGTGAGCTGGTACGGATAGATTGCCAGGGCCTGGAGCGAAGTGATTATAAGAAAATAGGCTGCAAACTTAGGGTAAATCATTTCTGTGTTAAGCACTCAAGGTTCATCATAACCGATAATAACATAAAATCAAGTGGTAACTGTTCTCCAATTTTTGCATAGGACCTGGTTCCTTGTGTGCTGGTGACATTTGATAAGGAGCAGATCGTGATATTGAGGGGTAAAGACTATAAACCTCCAGAGGATGGACAGTTCTTTGTTGGTCGGGAATATTTTGATAACCCAGATGATAATTCAATTTGCTCTGATGTGGAGGAACATGATATAGCTTAAATGAGATCAACAGCTAATGTTACTACTCTGGTGAGGACGTGTAGTTAATTCTATGGCTAAAAGACAAGCTTCAACATGAGATGATTTTGTTGGACCCACCAGCAACTAAGGACCATCGAAAGAAATGAAATTGGCCATGTGGGTACGAAGATAAGCGAGTTAATTTATCTTCCTCAAGAAGGTGAGTTTTGTAAATTTGTGAAACAATTCTCTGGGGGTCCGGCCATAATTATTGGTGCTCTTTCCTGCCTGATATCGGAAAGAAAATTAAAATCATGGATGGAAAGATGCCGGATGAGAACATGTTCATTCAGATTATACTAGTAAGCTGTGTTATAGATTTTCCTTTGTTTCTTTTGTAGATCCTTAAAATGTGGATTGCAGGATCAGATTAGAAAATGAGGGTGTGCACATGCAGCTGCACTTTATTAGAGATTGGATCTGAAACATGGCATGATGCCATACAAGCATCTGACTGATTTTCTCATGGGAAAGGATTAGCATTTTGTAGCCTGAGTTATCTGTAAAACGGTCCGTTCCCTTTCTTGTCAGCCAATTTAATTGCTTTATTAAAGACATTATTTATTGTGTATTAATATATAATTATTTAAAACTTGATTATTTTTTTCTAGGAATGTCAATGGGATGAGTTCTGTGCCGAGTTTACCAAATTTGAACTTAATCTGATCGTATCTTCGAGCTAACTTAAATTCATTCATTCCGTTTCAATTTTTTTCCCATCTAATTGGATTTGCATTTCGATAAAATTTGATTCGATTCTTTTATTATATTATCTTATTGATATATTAATTATATTTATTAATATTTATCAAATATATACATATACATGTTAAATATAAAAAACTGAAATGAGTCTAAAATCTGTTTTGTGTTTTGGCTAATCTGAATCTGCACTTTTAACAAAAAGATTGTGGGATTATATCAGTTTCTCAAAGTAATTAAGTGCTTTTTTCTGAAGTCAATAGTCAATGTTCTATAAGTACTTAAGGAGTACTCAAACTGCCTGTGGATCTGCAAATTTATTATTTGTTAATTTATTATCTGCAATTTTTTCATTACCATATCTAACTTACTTATATATATATATGTAATTGTGAATATTTTTTTATTTTTATTTTTGTAAAATATATTAAGTTTATTTTTAATGATTGTTGAAAATCATAATAATTAAAAAATAATTTTAATAAATTTAAATTATAAAAGATAATGATAAATAAATAAATAATTGATTTAATATTCATAAATATAATTATTGGAAGGGGAAGTGTGCTTTTTTTATTATAAGGTGCATGAAACTCCCTGATTTTTATGCGGACATCATCTTGCCGTGTAATAAACGTTGGATTAAACTAATCCATGTTATCATATCATTTAACTTTTTTCTTCTATACATTAACAATCAATTTTGATCTTTTTATAATTTTAAAATTACATTTTCGCTAAAACAATTCCATACAAAATTGAAAGAAAATTATAATTTTTCATTTTGGTTAAAATTTTAATTACAAGTTTACTAAGTGGAATTGATTACGCTCATTTTAATAGACATGTGACTTCCAATAATATTTTTTTTTTTTAAAAAAATTCACTTTTAATATTTATATTTACAAACCATAAATGATGACAAAAGTAAAAGAATACCATAATACTAATACCAATATGTTTACACAATTATTAATATGTACTTATTATGAACAATACTTTTTTATTGAAAAAATTATTAAGTTTGAATTTTTAATTCGATATAATAGAATTTAACTGTTATAAAAAAAAAAAAACTATTATGATATTCATCGATTAAGCAATTTGATGAAGTAGTATATAATGATATATATTAGTAATTATGATACTTAAAATTACGGACATGTAATATAAAAAACGTTATACCAATAGTTACAATCTGATAAAATTAATTAACAGAATATTACTCATATAAACCATCATTTTCTGCTAAACTAACAAAATTATTTTACCACACATTGTCTTAAAAAAGAAACTTTATAAAAAAATCAACATGATATTATAAATATAAATATAAATAGTACATGAATCTTAGTTCTTTTAATTACTTTTTTTCCCAAGGGATTTTCAAACTTAATCATTTTTCACCCATGTTACATTGAGAGTATTAATTATTTTATTTTAATGTATATTATACTTCAGTACATTGAACATTAATATTTATAATCTCTTAAATTAAAATTTTAATCATTTCATCCACTTTTTTCTATTCATACCGTGCAAGTCGAGCAATAATTTTTAGTTGGGTAAAGGAAAAAGAAAAAATACATAAAGCTTCTAAAATACTATGAAATATTTAATATTAAATATAAATAATAAAAAATGGTCTGAAAATATTAATTATTAGATATAATTAATAAAAAAAATAAGTCCACATTTAATAGAACTCAGCCTGTGAAATAAATTTGATAAGGACTGAAGGAACGTATTCATAGACAGATGCATTAATTAAATGAAATTCACCAAATCAATTCTTTATTTTTATATTCCGTTTTATTAGGGAAATTATTTGTATAAAAAAATATTAATTAAAAAGAAATATATATTTCTGTATTCAACTTGAGTTGATGAAACAAGATTTTTCTTTCTTGGTCAATCATGGGAGGCAAATTGGAATTCAGCACATTGAAAGGCCGTGTTTGCCGGATATCATATTTTATATACATATATATTTATACAACCAATTTTTTTTTATGTATAATTATTATATATATATAGATTTTTTATATTAACAGTTTGCTGCAGGAGCTGGCCCCCCAGTTGTGGTGGAAAAGAATAAATAACTGACGAAGGAGATGCAAATCACGTGGCTAAAATATATGGAACATCCTTTTTCTCGGGAAACAAACAATAATAATAATCCACCACAGGCGCCTACTCCATTCGTGCTTCTCTAAAAGACTAAAGCCCTCTTTTCTCTCTTCATCTCCTGTAGGAATTAGGATTTTCCCGCACCTTCCGTCTCCTCCAACAATGGCAGCCGTTGATCTTACCTCGCCTCTCCTTACTACCTCTCAGAAACATTCTCATCAACCAGAGCTCATCATCACCATCCGAGACGACAATCCAGTTTCTAATCGATCCACCCTCCAGAAATCCAATAATCACATTAACGACCGCCATTATGCTCAAAATTGCGACGCTGCCCACCTCGATTCTCGCAACCCGTACGAGTTTATCGGTGCAACAGAGCTTTCCGTGCCTCGGTCAACCACGGTGGACCCATTTCGAAACTCGACGCCTTTGATTTCTGGGTTGTACGAGATGATAAAGATTGTGGTTTGTCTGCCTATCTTTTTGGCTAGGTTGGTCTTGTTTGGGCTTTGTTTGGCAATAGGGTATCTGGCGACTAGGTTGGCGCTTGAGGGATGGAAGGATAAGCAGGAACCAATGCCCAAATGGAGGTGTAGAGTCATGCTTGTAACTCGGCTTTGTGCTAGATGTATTCTGTTCTCATTTGGGTAAGCCGTTTTTTAGTTGATTTTTCATTTATCTGCGATTTTCGTTTCACTTTTTACAATTCCCGGTATTTCCGGTTGTTCGTTAAAGTCTTGGAATTGAAAGTTCCATCTTTGGTCTTTAGAAGCAAACATGTAGACTTCAAAATAAAATTTTGGGTCATTTGTGTTAATAATCTGGGCTGGATTGATGCTTGCGACCTTGCAGTTATCACTGGATAAGAAGAAGAGGGAAACCTGCTCCAAGGGAGATTGCTCCAATAGTTGTATCGAATCATGTATCATATGTTGAACCTATCTTCTATTTTTATGAACTGTTCCCTACGATTGTGGCAGCAGAGTCCCATGATTCCATGCCCTTTGTTGGGACCATTATCAGAGCGATGCAGGTAATTTCATGTCCCCACCGGTTTCCTTTTTTTTTGGGTTTTAATAGGTTCTTTTAATGCTTAAGCTTCTATTCTTTTTTTTTTTTTTTCCTTTCAAGGTGATATATGTTAATAGGTTTTCACCATCATCAAGGAAGCATGCTGTTAATGAAATAAAGGTAGAAAGTTTGTGTACCTTTTAGTGATTTAATTTTTATTACGAGTTGTTACACTTAAGTCTGACAATCCATTTTATGGTATTTTTCTGCTTTCTTTTATCCAATTTGCTATCTTTAAGTCATTATTTTTTTGATATGACATATTGAAGTGATCTAGCTTACATGGAAGCTTAGTTAGTTCCAGCCTTGCCTTTTGTCTGAGGGTATTATCTATTATTCTTCTTTGGAGAAGTCTAAGGGTATTAGTTATAACATATATCCTGACATTGTTGTTGTTTACTGAAATAGAAAGATGTATGAACATCTGTTCCACTGGCAGATTCACTTGAACTTTCTAAATTTTCTACAGAGTGGACTTAAGAGACTTGGGTTTTATTTGATCTAGAGTGGTAGCTGAGTAGAGTTAGAAGTAATTATCTTGCTATAGTATCTGTATTGACCTTGTTGTGAGAGGCTTCATCCATCCATTTGAATTTATAGCAGTACTCTGACTTGCTATAGATAGAAGGCCTACATGTTCGGCAAGTATGCTTACAAAGTTCACATAATTATAGGATTATAAACAATTGAGGGAGAGGAGGAGGGGGCAAGGGGGGTGGGGAAACAGTCATCAGCATAAAGAATTAAGCAGATAATTTATATTTCAATTAGGCATTTGGATACCGGGCTCCATTCTCAAAGCTAATACAATGTTTAGTTGTTCCATCGATCCTAAAATTCATGGAAGCACATTGGTGTCAAGTTTGTGCACTGATTATGTTTTCTGATGTCATTATCAGATTAAAACTATTGGAACTGTGTATTTAAAAAAAAAAAACTTTTTGAACTATGGTTTAAATGCCAGTTAAACTTTTTGCCTTCATTGTCTTAAATGTGATTAAATTTAACATAGGTACACATATAAATAAAATAAGCTTTTGTGGCTCTAAGTTGCTGAAAAGATTCAGATGATTTTATCAATTTATAAGCTATTTGATACAGAAATGTGCTTTCAAGGATCTGAATACAGAGAAAGGCTTCGTGCAATAAATTTCCTCGAGTGTTGTTATTTCCGGAGGGAACCACAACCAATGGAAGGGTTATTATTTCATTCCAACTTGGTGCATTCATTCCCGGTTATGCAGTTCAGCCTGTAATTGTTCGCTACCCCCATATACATTTTGACCAATCTTGGTAGGCATCTATCTTTTTCTGGAAATTCCATTTGGTGCTGTTCTTTTTGATATCTTTCAATTTTTAATGCTCTCTTTTTGGGGATTTTTCATTGTGCAGGGGAAATGTTGCCTTGTTAAAACTAATGTTTAGAATGTTCACACAGTTTCACAACTTCATGGAGGTAAGCTCATCTGTGTAATTAATGTGTCATGCAACTTTTTTGCCGTATGATTCGATTTGAAACTAATTGATTTCATTTATTCAAAACTGGGCAGATAGAATATCTTCCTGTGATTTACCCACTTGACAATAAAAAGGAAAATGCTGTCCACTTTGCCGAGAGGGTAAGTGTATGCTTGAAATTCATTCATTTTGAGTGGATTGTTTTGGACTGATTGATGTTTATTTTGATTTTAAATGTTGATGGAAGCAATGGGAATTGCACTCTTCCTATTCTAATTTTTCTGTATGCTAAAAAAATCGCAAAAAATTTTAAACCTCTTGAGATATTTTTTAATATATTTACTAAGATATTCTTGGGTTACATTTGGTTGAAATGAAGATTCTTTGGAATAAGAATTGAAGTGCAATAGAAATAAGCTAGAAAGATAAATGGAAATAACATTCTAATTCCATGCCAATTCAATGTTCATTTTAAGTTGGTTGAATTTATGACCCCCACCTTAATAGGTTAGAATACAAAAGTATCATTCTAGAAATCACCATAAGACTAGAGTTGGTTAAATTATGAATGAAATATGAAATAATTAATTGATTGAGGTCTAGGAATAAAGTGAAAATAGAATAGATTAACCAAACAGGTCGTTAGTGAGTTATATTGTACATGTTCCTCTTCTTAGATTGTTTACAATTCAATGTATTATGAATGCAGACCAGTCATGTAATAGCGTCTGCTCTCAATGTTGTGCAAACATCTCATTCCTATGGGGACGTAATGCTTCTCATGAAGGCATATGAATTGCGGCTGGTATAAAACTATGAATCTCTTGCTGAATGATTATTTTATTTGTTTGCAATTTATTTAGCTTATGAATCCCTTTTCTCTATTTTCTTTGTTCTCTTTCCAACTGGTGATTTGTTTCTGACAGTTCAAAAAATATAATCAAACATTGTGGACAATGTAATCATGAATTTGAAATTTGAATGTAATTTGAAACTAATTGGATTCTCACGAACTTTAGGATCTCGTGATGCAAGGGATTTGGAAAATATAATCATGAATTTGAAATTTGACTGTAACTTGAAAATGATTGGATTGTCACGAAGTTTTTGTTGAGATCTCGTGATGCAAGGGAATCCTAAGTCCAGATATCTAGCAATCTTTCCACCTTCAATTGTTTCAGAATTGAAAACAGGATAGGAGACAGCTATCTTCATGTATTCTAATTAAGAAATAAAACATTTGTCCACAAAATGCCATGAAGTTGTGATAAAAAGAAATATTCGCAATCTGTATTTCAGCTGATATTTCTTTTTCATAATTTCTGCAGGAAAATCCTTCAAGCTATATGGTTGAAATGGCCAGGGTTGAATCAGTATGATCTTACACTAGAATACTTCATATTTGAATTCTTTCTCCTGTTATGATTTTGGAAAGTGAAAGAAATTCATATTTGCAATTATATTCGCTGGGCAAAGATGTTTCTTTTTGAAGGTTTTCCTATTTTGAAATCATAGGGAGTCTTTGCAGTTTTTCCTTTTCAATTTATTGTCTTTTGGCTTAGTTCAGATTGCATGCGATGATTAAGTATTCTGAAAGATGTCCCAACTTGGCTACAATACTTGTTGAAGTTAGGTATTGCTCATCTTTGGTGCAAAAAATATGTACAAAGTGATAACAAAAGTTCCTTTAATCATACAATTCCTGAATGGATGGGTGGGTGAAAGGATAAGAAAAGGAAGATTTTCTTTCTTCACTGAGCTTATGCTGTTAGATTAGCAATATCACCTTGAACCTTGCATATGACAGTGATAATTAAAGTCTTTTGAAGCCTATTGCTTTAGATCCTGCTACTGCTTCCTCTATAGTAGGACTACGTTCCTTCAAAAAAGTATAGACAATTTGTCAAGGTGGTGACTCCACTTGTAGATCACCTTGGCAATCTGTATTTTCTTTCCAAATGGCTTGATTTGGTTTTCAAGGTTTGATTCCAAGTGCATTAATTCTTTAAGGCAATAGCAAATGTCCTTTTCTATTTCTGCAATTACATGGGATTTGATTATGTTACCTACAGTTTGAGAAAAGAAGAGGTATTATTACGTTTGTATATAGGGTATCTTCTTTTTCTCTTCATTTAATCTTCTCAAGTAATGATCCAGTTATTTTGTTCTGCAGTTATTCCATATAAGCAGCTTGGAAGCTGTAGACTTCTTGGATAAATTTCAATCCATGAATCCAGATGCCAGGTATTCTTTTATGCATTTGCTTAAGTAAAATAAGGACCTTGCTTAATGGCTGTTGGTGACGGACTTTGCTGAATTGGTTCTCTTTGGTTGTAAGCCAACCTTGTATGTCTGCTAAGGATTTTTATTGGGTTGCCCACCTAGAAAATGATCAGTGATTTTGATATTTTAACTTCTTTTTCTCTTCATATTCTCTGCTCCCATCTTTTTGTTTATTCATTCTTTAAGTATGTGCTTAAGTTATATGCTTATTGGTAAAAACCAGAATATATACTTCTTTCCCTCATGATTTCTGTTTTACCATTGGTGATGCATCTTAATATTAGTTGTACGATGACACTAAGTATCAAACTCTTTTTAACAATTGGTTAAGTTGCATGTATAAGAATTATTATATTTCATTTAATGTTTTTGCAGAGGTCGTGTTACATGCCTTGACTTCTTGAGGGTTCTAAGACTCAAGCCTTGCACTCTTTCTGAAGAGGTTAGTGATGCTCAAGAAAAAGGAGAATATGTTCTCTGGTTTCTGGAGATATTTAAATCAATAATATTTTGTGTCTCTCTTCTTGAGTGAGCAAAAATGTGCAATGTTGTTGTAAAACCATCTTGTGACGTACTTGGAACCCTTCAATGATAACCTAGCATTAAGATTAAAAATAAAAGTAAAGGCAGTGAACTTATGTGAAATAATGCTTTCTTAGGCTTGCACTTAGTGGTACAGCTTTTTATGGTTTACAGCTGAAGGTGATACTTTTTTGTTTACGTACTACTTGTGGTTGCTTTTGGTTAAGATAATAATAGCATTTGACTTGCTTAGATAAAAACTGTTTAATTTCATATAGGTTGAGTTGAGCAGTTGTAGTGTTTGTTTGAATTATAGCTAAATAAAATAGAAGCTACATAGAGAAACTCAAACAAAAAGATCCCAGTTACAACATGGAGTTGGTAACTTTCACCTTGAAAGAGTGCTTCCTGTACCATAGGTATGTTTAGGTCAATGATGATGATCAATGGAATTTGCAGCTGTTCTATTTGTTCCTTATGAAGATTTCTAGAAATATGTTTCTTTTGAATTGGACTTGGTTTCTTGTAGTTTGGCCCAAAAGGTAATTAGTGAAATTGAACCTACTTGATTGCTCGAGTACATTTAATATTTAGAACGATATTTTATTTTTGGCACCACATTTGCATGGTGATAGAAAGAAAATTTCAGCCAGTAAACAAATGCAGAATCTTGATTTTTGTTATGTGCCCTTATTTTTCTTTTATATTACTGATGAATCCTTAATTTATACCTATGAGTAAACTTATTATTTTGCTGACATTCTCTATATTGCAGATTTTTGGTTTCATTGATGTGGAGAAGACTGGGTCAATCACATTTAAGCAGGTAATATAATTTGTGCTTGTATGTGGCTTGTTTGGTATACCACTTAAATTTTAGATTTATGTTTGCAAGTAGAGGACGTGTGTAAATAATAAATGAAGTATGTGTACCTGTGTACTCACCTACAATTGCACACTAAGCCACCTGCCCAGTGAAGGCTCACAAACCTATTGTGTTTGATTGAACCATGACTAGATGCAATAGGAAAGACTTGCTTTGGGGGTTTTAAAGAGTCGGATTGGCTCAAGTCCTTCCTTGGGATTTTGATTTGTGATTGATAACTATTTGGATTATCAGGTGGGCAAGTTCCTAGGTAATGATATTTAGAACAGGGAAATCTGATGGTTCGCATAAAAGTTGTGCTCCCGAGAGGTTGCAAAAAGACTATTGCTTCTTTTATTTTTTTTCCTTCATAAATATTTTCATGCCCGAGTCAATTAAAATCTTTTTCTTGCAGTTCTTGTTTGGATCAGCTTACATCAAGACTCGTCCGTTGTTCCGGCCAGCATGTGAGCTAGCCTTTGCTGAATGTGATGCAGGAGGAAACGATTTCATCTCGGAGCAAGAAGTATGTTGCGTTTTCCTTCTCTCCTTCATTCTTTAACCATTTCCTATTCTTTGTGTGTTTGTAGTTTCAGGATGTCTCATTTTGTTGTTCATTAATTGTTTTTGGTTTCAGTTGGGAAATACTATTAGATTTGCAATTCCAGAGTTGAATGATGATGAGGTAACAGATACCCTTGTTCATCAAATAACCGGATTTTTACCACAAAAGTAAATGGTTGTTAGGGACGTAGCTCAGGGAATTTGGCATAAATAATTTTTGTATTGTAATTAGTCCTTTCTGATATTTGTAGGTCCATGAAATGTTCAACTTACTCGACTCTGATAGTGATGGAAGAGTGAGTAGGACCGATTTCTTGTCCAGCTTACGAGTGAACCCTCTGCTTATTGCACTGTTCTCACGTGCCTTGTTGCGAAGGCAGTCACTGGAGGCGTGCCAGGGGATGGTAGAGGAGATTGTGTGATGGAGTGGCACCATGGTTCGTGTGGGTGAGATTTCGGAAAAGATGGTATAAAATTATACTTCCCTATTAACATCCCAGATTGTGAGGTGGTGTTTTTGATGGAGGGATGATGAAGAGGGAAAGGTATGGTAATCAAATTCGTTTGTGCATGGGGTCAAAATATTTTTTGGGGTTTGGCCCTCTGATGTTTGTAAGACCAAGTTTTTTGATGTTTAGTTTGATTGATCATAACAGACATTGTATTTGTCTCTCTCGAGATATATATATATATATATATATATATATATATTTACTACTGTTTTGACGTACAGGAGGAATGCGAAAGATGTTACTGTGAATCCTCCTAAAACTGACATTTGAAGTGTCCGTAAAAATCAAATAAGAAATCAGAAATTAAGTACGCAAACTCTTAGATATTTGTTAATTAATTAGACTTGAGACGGTATGGATTTTATGCAACTAATTTAGAATATTAAGAAAAATAAGCATGGTAAGATTATTAAAAAATTAATGATAAATTCATCATGCTAAATATGTATGCAACTAATTTATTTAATATATTATTAGTTAACTCAAAATTAATTTAGTATTTTTAAAAATCTCATAAAATTATTAATGTATTTTCACATGTCTGATATATATATATATATAATAATAATAATAATAATAAGACTATCAAGTGGGTTGTAATAAAATAATCATTAAATGCCATCTTGATAGACAAACAGACCCACTCAAAAACTTTTAAAAAAAAAAAAAAAAAAAAACCCAAAACAAATAGTTGGGGGTGAAATCCTCGAAAACTTTTCCTACCACCATCATTATTTTCATTATTTGTTACGGTACAACTTTCTTTTTAGTGATCTAAAGTATAATAATATCTATACACTATAATAATAATAAAATAAAAAATCTTGTTATAATTTTATATGCATTGTATCTGAGAATGATACAACACAGAAATAATCATAATCATAATCATAATCTGAAAATAAAACACAACTTTTATGATTAATCAGGCTTAAGATTCTAATTCTCTCTCACACGACTTAGGCTTTACCCATTAATTTTATGATTACTCTGAAGTTTAAACGTTATTTACGACTCTCAACATTTCCCCTTGTTATTTTGATTTTTGGAAAAAAAAAAATTACGACAGCTTTGAGATGCATTTTGTTTACGCAGTCAAGATCGTACTACGTTATCCTGAAAATCCTAAACTAGTTTATATTATATCGCCATTAATTTTTAAAGAAAAGGGTGGGGGGGGGGGGGGGGGTTGTTGAAAAAGAATCCAAACCAATAGAATTCCGACACGTGTAGAGTTGCGTGATGCCATCGGCATGAGCTTTGCTTTGGACGTATTTTGAAAAAG